GATGTTATCATTTTCTCAAGCCGAGATATATGCAAAACAAAGATGTCTTGCAAACATTTTTATTATGCTGAAAAATAGCTCTATTATTTAGGTAGTTCGTTATGAGTGTGGAAAAATCAACAGAGCAAGTCAAGAGGGATTTGTTTACACGAACTTTGTAGAGCTTTTCACGGCGCATCTTTTAAAAAAATAATCAAGATTGTATCATTTTCTCAAGTCGAGATATAGACGAAATAAAAAAACTTATAACATCCAGTAACAACGTCACACATATCTTCACTTTTAATCATCTCGAAAACCATCAGAACCAGTTAATAGAGATTTCTTTATACAGTTTTTGTAGAGCTTTTCACGGTGCATCTTTTAAGAAAAAAATCAAGATTTTATCATTTTCTCAAGTCGAGATAAATGCAAAATATAAAATGTTGCAAAACTTTTGGAACACCCGGTATGAGTATGCGATTGTGTATCCATTTCGTTACACTATATTTAATAAAAATTCTGAATTTAGCGCCATATAGGTATTGCAAATACATTAAGTGAATTTTGCATGGCAGATTTTTATCAGTAACAGGCATTTTTTTTTTGTCATTTTAGCAAAAATTTCGTAAACAAAATATAAATGATAAAACTCTTACTGTTTATTGTTACGTATATGATGTTTCGAATGAATTGATTTATTTTCTTGTTTCAAAAGACTTTTTTCTTCATCAATATTCGTTTTTCGAGAATTAAATTTGTCTTTGTATTGTAAATGAATATTTTTGTTTAATGAAATACTATTTGAATTTATTGGAGAATAAGTTGGTTGTTGAAGAATCCATTTTCGAGATGAATTTAGATTTGTTTTTCTATTTTTATCTTTAATAATAGAAGGAAATTGAGATGGATCAAGAATTTTTGTTTGGAAATTATCTTGATTATTATTTTCATCATGAGAATAATATTGTGATATTGAATTTGAATTATTTGTTTTATAATGATTAATATTTACTATTTGAATTTGTGGTTCTTGTTGATCTAAAGTAGATAAATCCAAATCTGTTTGAAGTATTTGTTTTACCCATGGATCATCAATATATTCGTGTTTATTTTTTGATAATTTTATTTCATATTTATGATTCGAATATAAATCTTTATTTAAATCTTGTTCTTTATTATTATTGTATTTTGAATGATTTATATTTTGATGAGAATGAAATTTATTTTCATTTTTTGAATAATTTGATGGGTTGCTTTGTCTTCCGAGAGAATTATTATTTAATTTTGTTTGTTGTTCATTATTAATTGGCTTTTTAATTGTTGTTGAATAATTCGGCATTTCAAGAATATAACGTCGATGAGGATGACGAAAATTCGAACGTTTAGAGTTATTAAATTCATCATTTATTTCACCGTTTGTTAATGATGCCATCTTTGATAAAAAGAAAAAAATTCTTAAACTAATTATTTATTATTTTTGTTTTTGATCATTGATTTATTTCGTCAATAAATTTTAACTGAAGAATTTCTTTTTTATATCGAATTCGAATAAAATTGAATAGTTTAAACAAATGAGGTTGTAATCGATTCTAACAACTCGATGAAAAAGCTACGAAATATCGCTTGAATGCAGTTTTTTTGCATTTTTTGACTCGTAAACTGAATTGACCTGTATGTGTTTCGAACTTTTTTCCCTGGAAAAATTCAATTAGAATATCCTTGAGAGTTTAATTAGAAAGTTATTTTTTACCATTTCACTGTCTGCCCTTTTTCTCTAGTAGTAATGTTTTACAAGCTCGAACTTGTTTTTCACTATTTAAATGCTTCTTCTAATTGAATCCCAAAGGGTATCCTAGCTGAATTCGCCAGAAAAAAAAGTTCAATGCAAAACTTCGAAACACATACAAATCGATTCAGTTTTTATGATTATTCCAAATATGCTAATGGTTGTGATTTATAATTGTACGTTTTTTCTTAATAAAATCTGTTAAATACGAGTTAAAAATGCAAAATAAGATATCCAAACAAAATTTAAATTCGTTTATCGAATAAAGTTCATCTCGATAAAAAAAAAAAAAAATAATATGATCGGGTAGAGTAGAATACTCAGCAACACATCAACAGTTCGAACTGAAATTTGCATCTAAGATACGAGTAAATTGTTTTCATAAAATATTTTAGATTAAAGATAATTTTATTTTTATTGTAACAATGAAAAAAATTTCATTAAACAATCAATAAGATTTGTTAATGATTTTATAAAATAAATAAATAAAAACTTTTCAATTCGAATAATAAAAATTGAATAAAATATTTATATTTAATTTCAATTAATCGATTCTTTCTTTATGTTCATAAAAATCGATTGACTTGCTTAAAATTATTTTAAATTATTTTATTAATTTGAGACGAATGACAAAAATAAATTAAATTTACTTGTAATATAAGAGTATATCGACAAATGAAAATAAAATATTATTATGCCTTCGGTTTTTGTTTTGTTTTATGATATGTCGCACTTTATATGAAGTATCATTAGTCAGTATTAAGATTAAGATTAAAAAATCAAATCAATGAAAAAGAATTCAAATCTTTTCTTACTTCATTTCTTTTATAAATCGAACATGTTTCGTTGGATAAGAAGCCTTGTATTTTTGTTTGAAAAGATTTTAATAGAGCACCTAAAGAATGTTCTAAACATCAACGAGCATTGATCTGTACTTTTATGTCAAAAAAAAATGTTTGATCAAAAGAAGAATACAACCAATGTAATTTTTTTTCTTGTTCTTTCATTTTCCTATGTTGTGTTATATACGTAAATAGTCACAATTTTCTTTTTCTTCTCGTTCTTTTTCTTTTTGTCCTTGCTCTTTCTCTTTTTGTCCTTTCACAAAACATATTAAAAAAAATGCGAGTAGAAAGATTGCAGAAGAAAATAAAAGCAATTAACAGTATTTTACAAGTCAGTTCAGTTAAACCACAACCGACATTAATGTTACTCTAGTAAAAAAATTGCTTGTGCCAGAGTACAGCCATCAGTTCTTTTTTGCTGAACTTTTCAATTCATTAAAAGTTGTTTTTCAAAATTTAAAGCTGTATTTCTCTTGGAAAAAGTAGTCAAGGGTGGTATGTCGGTGTCTGTTCTGTGCATCCGTACGATCCCCTACATCTACACCCTCGAGAGAGATCCAATGCCTTGTTGGTACACATACTGGTATGTATATGGAGAGGCCATGAATATACAAGTATGGCTGTATTCATTGTTGATATCCACTCTAAAAAATGCCATGCGTCTTACAAGACGGTTCATGCGTCTATTTTTCATTTATTTTGCTTGAGCGTCTAAAATCGGTCATCCGTTGACACTTGGTACGTCTAGCTGAGACGTGTGATGCGTNACGTATGGTCCGTCTTGTAAGACGCATGGCATTTTTTAGAGTGTCGTCGCCTCGTACGTACGATAATGATGATAGTAGCATACATCATGTAGGTGTGCCTGACCATTGCCGGCTTTGTTCAGTGGACAATCAAGCAAGGTTCAGAGGGTCTTTCTGGTCACGCGTGCGCGAAGAAACATTTTGTACTGGTAAGCAGAATTTCTGTGAATCGCAGAAGAAAAAAAGAAGAAGTTACAGTTTCGCTTTTACAATTTTAATACTATTTTTCACTAGTGCGATATGTGGATACGTC